CCCCAAAACCCCAAAACCCCAAAACCCCAAAACCCCAAAACCCCATAATGTCAATAAATTATTGTAAGTTAATATCGTTAAACCAACAAAGATGAACAAGGCGCATGATTTTTCGAAATTGATTCAAATTTCTGGAAAGTACAACTATAACTTTGATTTCTACACCCAAACAAACTATGTTTACTTAGCAAGTAACCTCGTGGCCGAGGCGAAAGATAAGGATACCGGTTTGCCTCTGGCCATGAAGTTTAAATGGCAGAGGATTAGAAATAGCAGGATCTATAATTTAAATGCAATTGCTGGAAACGTTTACCAACTATCTGCCGAAGATGTTGGATGCAAAATCAGAGTAGAAGCTACTCCACTTGATGACGAGCTCTATGTCGGTAATGCCATTGCAGAGTTTGGTCCAGTGACAGTTGAACCCAGTGCAAGACAATCCTTGGAATACATTCTCGGTAGCGGCGGTAGTAGGTTCCCTGTAACGATTTACCAATGTGAAGATCGCCATAAAATGATAGATGAAAGAGAGTTCAGAGAAGGAACTTTAATAATTAACTCAAAAAGTATAAAACTTGAAGAGAAGGTAGACTTCTCAGGTAAAAAGAAGGAGGTATTTTGTTGTAAATATACTATTGGTCACCCTCGACTTGACATTACTTCGAACGATACCAAGATGCTTTCCATTGATTACCATGATGAGGATGATTTTTATGGTAGTGAAAAGGGCTTAAATTTCAGCTTGGACCTCAGAACTCTTTCGAGACAGTCAAGAGATTTAATCGCACTTTCCATCAGATGTTTTTCTGCATTGAATTACTATAAGAACTCACAGATAATAAATACTTTGAATAAAGATGAGAAGGATTTAGAAGACTCTCCTCTAAAGAAATCCAAGAAGGAAAAGGACACTGTCACCCAACTTCTCATGGAAGTAGACTACGTCAAAAGAGAGCTTTATGAGCAAATCAGCGTAAACAAAGAACTTGAAGAAGAGAGAAATATGGCTAGGAAACAATTCCTAGACCTCGAATCTGAAATGGAACAAACCATTGAAGGTTACAGAATTGTTCTCGAAGACCAAGAGCACTCTCCTGAAGATACCCAATTTAGAGCAGAATTCAGGAATCAGTTAAAGCTTAATGAGACCTTACAGAAGGAAAAGAACCAGCTTGCTGAAGAGAATATGATCTTACAGGATGAAAAGAAGACTACCATCTCAAAACTTGAAGAGAAAGATGGCCAAATGGAACAACTTAAGAGCCAACTCATGGACATGAAGAAGGGTGCAAGTATGCCAAAGACAGAATATGAAAAACTCAAAAAAGAGAAAGACAAGTGCAGAAGAGACGCAAAGAAATTCGCTGAAGAAATCAGAAGTCTAGAAAAATAAACTCCTTAGCTTGAAGAAGGAAAATAAAGAAACCAAAGCTAAGTTAGAAGAGCTTGACACTGAGAAGAAGACCGCTCTTAGTTATGTCAAGTCACAAGAGAAGGAGTACGAAGAGCTCAAGGAGAGAGTTGAAAAATTTGAAAAGGAGAATAAGCACTTGAAGAGAAAAGTTCTCCCAGATACTGGCTCGGAGCGAGACACTAGGATAAAGGATGAAAACGAGGCTTTAATTGCTCAAAGAAATGCTCTATCAAAGCAGAATGAAGCCTTACTAAAAGACCTTGAGAAGAAGACCAAGGAATTAGACAAACTTAAGAAAGAGAGTGAAGGGTCAGTCTCCCGCCTCACTCAGTCCAACAAGAGATTCCTTGATGAGCAGAAAGAGTTAGAGGACAAAATAGAAGAAGCTGAGGAAAAGAATGAAAGACTCCTTGAAGACAAAAATGAAATCATCTTCAAACAGAAGGATGAAATAGAGACCTTGAAGGAAAAACTTAAAGAGAAATCTTCAGTTGCGAACAAATTCAAGGACTTATTTAGCAAGAAAGCTGAGGATTCTAAGAAACCAGAATTGGCTACTCAGGAGGTACAGACAGACCCTCTTCCTGAACCTGTTAAGACAATGTCAGAGAGTCCGAGTCAGATAGAAATGGGACTTAAGAAATACTCGAGACAGACAAAGCAATCCTTCCTTGATAGTAGTATGTCCATGGAGGTTAGTGTTTCAAACGTCAAAGAGGTCAATGATTTGCAAAGAAAATTAAGACAATTAGAGAAAGAGAAGAAACAAATGTGCTCAGACATGGAAGAGAAGACAGAGCATTACCAGTGCTTGGAAGAGAATATCCTCAAGAAGGATGACCAACTGGAAGAAATGAGAGTTGAAATAGAAAGACTAGCAGGACAATTATGTGCAGCCCAGTCAAAGCTCTTTGAAGTTTCCTAATAGAATTTATGAATTACAATTTATAAATTTTCCTCGGGGTTTTGGGGTTTTGGGGTTTTGGGGTTTTGGGGTTTTGGGGTTTTGGGG